CGATTGATAGATGTATCAATTAACGATGACATATCTAGATAAACATAGTCGTAGTAAATTAGTTATAATTACTAAATGATAGTATTCTAGTGACGCACGGTAGCTTTTGGTAGCTCCAGATAAAGCGACTATGATTACTGTTTGTTTTATAATAGTTTTATCTATATAACTTCTAATACTGTACATGATGTTCTTATATGTATGTTTTTTAGGACGTTTCTTTCCCACCAGAGCATATACTATAGTTCTGAATATAATTGGCAAAAGAGTTGTTCGAAAGGGAAACAATGATCCATTTGACTTCGAGCATGGTATGAACTACAGCTTCCAACAATAAATGAAATGGATACTTGTGCTATTTGATATACTAATTATCATACAATTAAATCAAATATAATTTCTAAACTTGCTCGAAATAGAAAATGCTCATCTGTATGAAAATACAAGCGATATCGAGGTAATCTTTACGTCAAAGGAAATTTATGATTGCTAAAATTAACATTTTATCCATGTTCAGATGATCATTTTATACTTATTTTGTAACAATTGCGACATTAAGTGTCTTTTTGTATCTTCAGAAAGTGTTGTATTACGTTAATGAGAGTGTATATGGCAGTATTGGCTTTATAACTCTTGATCCTACCCTGATTATTTTAAAGCCGGTCAAGAAGAATACGAACGGTACAACGAATGCAGTTTTATTTGGTCAAACGTGTGATTCTTTAGATCTTCTGTTAAATGAATGTTCCTTACCAAAGGTGCTTAAATCTTTGATGATAAAAATAGATTTATATTCCACATAAAATAATGCTTCTAGATCAAGCTTGAAAGAGAATATTACAAGAGTATTCGGACCAATTTAATATTATTGATTTTTATTTTTAATTTTAAATTCTAAATTTAGCTTAATGCTGGTGACTGGATATATTTCGAAGGTAAAAAATTCAGTTAAACCTTATTCAATTAAACATTATGTGCTATACAACATGGGCATGAGATTTGTCGAGTCTACTTTGCATACTGTACAGTATGGCTACTAGTCTATGTTAATTTTCATTTTATTTTGTTTTCTCCTCTCATCTACCTATACATACTACCCAATTGAAATCACAGAAGTTGGAGCTTATTCACTAGTTCTGGCCACCGAATTTAATTCATTCAAGAAACCAAAATGCTTCTATTATATTCAAGAAGAATTTTGGTAAAAATTATAATTTTTCGGTTACCAGACAGTAAGCAATGACTAAACGTCAATTACTACTAATGAAATATACATTTTATTTTCTAGGAATGAAATTCAAGGGAAGATTGATCTACCTTTTAATTTTTATAACATGAGCTAATTCATTAGAAAACATGTAATTAAGGTGTCTAATTCATTGTCTTAATTCACAATACTATATATAAGCAAGAATAGCGTAATATCTAATTGTGAAGAAATTGAAATGAATAAATTACTTTAATTACCAATCATTAAAATGTACTGTATGTTTAGTGCTAGTGATACTCTCGCCTGTGGGCATAGCATGGTATGACTATCCATTCCTTTTTGTATTCTACTATGCATACTTGATCTAATACGATACAAATACAAAATAGCTTCGGAATTCATTGATAATTATGATCGGAGTGCAATTACTATCAGAAATTAGATAATATTGTAGCTCATATGTCCCTTTCTGTTAATATAAAGTTGAGGGTGATTACAATAAAATTTTTCTAACTTGCACTAGCGGTAAATGTTCTTATAAGTACGATGAATTTTTAATTGTAGTTTACTTCCGCAGATAATTTAGAAAACATTCAAATCATTATCAATTTTCTGTGATTTTAGCCTATGGATATCGTATCTTTTGTAAATCTGATAAATTTTTAAGATATACTATCATCGTCACAGATATAGAAGTTATAATGTATTAACGGGCGCAATTACAGATTCATTAATACGTTAAACACCTAGAGGTGTAATCGTCGCATTCTATACAAAACCTTTTATGATATATTTTTCTTATTTCCTATTGCCAGAAACTAGTAGTATCTCTTCAAACTATCTCATAAAATAATGCATGTACTCTCCACAAGCAATAATATAACTGATAATTTATATAATAGTTACGCTGCCAATAATATACTTAGCTTATGATTTCTATTCTTTTCTCATAGTTAAACTAAATCAACATGTTATATGCGATTGTAGTAATACGTTGATACTTTTATTTACTTCTTTATTTACGGCCATGAGAAGCTTATAATAATAGCTTCATGGGCTTCGAACAATACCATTAAGATTCTTAATATTAATCTAAGTTGATAGTTTTATAGAATTAGCACTTTAAAATGGAGTAAAATTTCAAAATTAATGAAAAATTTTTACCATCTTTATCGTCTAATAGAAGATTAGATCAAGAAACATTTAGAAATATGATTGCCTAATCAAAAATTAATTAAAAAATAGTCAATAATTACACGATTTAGCAAAGAAAGGCTTCGGATAATTCGATTAATTATAATTATTTATACAGTGATAGTTGAAATGATTATAGGCCATTACGGCCGAGACTAAGCAGATGGATGATTATCGGATCATAAAATTCGTATAGATAGTTCAAATCAAGGCATAAAACTGTAGACAGCTGTATAATGTCAACTTTACTATGGTGGTATGAACAACTTGGAAATAAATTAAGACATAATGGGAAAGTTGCCTCCTTGATATTTACTGACCACAAAGTCGACGCAATATCCATAATTCGTGTATTTGTACTTTTCATGTTAGAAGCTTTAAGAGTGCAGTATCAACTCAGATCGATGATGGACATGGTAAATTATTGGCTTAGAATAGATTAAATTTATAGTAACATTACAATCAAAGGCCTTGCTTACATCTTGAAATATTGTCAAAAATTACCTATTAAGCTTCTACGAAGTGACCTAAAATAATAGATGACTACTGCCTAGGCGAATTAGATAAAGATGCTAGTGATGTGTCTAATTTGAGTGGAGCAGTGTAGGTTTCGATAGTCAGTTCGTCTTGAAGAATAGTAGTTTTTTGTTGTAGCATATGACTTGAGATT